CGAATTAGCTTTAAACTGAGAATCTGATATCTAATAGAGAATAATCAGAATTTTAATCACGCAAACAAGACTTAATAGCCCTCTAGATAGTTTAATCAGGGATATAAAGGCCTTTACTATAAAACTAAAGTCCGGACTCAGAGCAGATAGAAACTTAATTATTGTAAAAATAAAAACATGAATAGGGGACAACTTCCAGTTACCTATCACTTTAAACGAAATAGGATGAATACACTTCATGCACTGGAAGTCTTTAAAACCTAATTAGCAACGAAACACAAGTGAATGCGTCTGCCCTCCAGTGAGCTGAGTCAAAAATTGAGGACGTTACTAAGAAAATGGAATATCTAGGTAATATGAAGAGAAGTCAACAGTTTTCACTCAATAGTAGAAGCAATCCAAAATGCAAAAGCTGTATTTCTCGGGAATGTATCGCATAAGATGCGGTAGCTGAGATAATTGTAATAGAAAAACAAAAAAATATCAGCTTATAAATCAAGAAACACCAAATAAACTACAGAAACGTGTATAAGTGAAGATCCGAAAAAGTGTGGATCGAAGTCAACAAAAAATTTGGCCGCAGATAGTGAAAATAAAAGATAGCGCGAAATTAGATAGGCCATCAATACCCTGACTAAAAAATTTAATGAACAGGCGACTGGAAGAATAAAAAGTAGCAAAAAATTTGTGCATTGCTAAAGCAATGCTCGGAGGAGATCAGGAAGCAGTTCAAACAGGAAGAAAGGTAATCGCAAGGAAAAGGACCTCAAGGGATGACCGTGAATCAAGAGAATATGTCTGCAGAGAACATGGTCAAAGGAAGCATCTCAAACAGTTGGTGGTCAGCACAAAATCATTGACTTGGCAGTATGAACGGAAGCGGGGACTAATCGAACAGAAACCCACCCGAGATGCTACGGAAGCCAGACATTTGGCTCACAGTGCATGGATATGATCATAGACGTAGTCCGTGAAGTAAAGACTTGAAAACTAGATTTATTGAGTACAGGCCAAACTGAAAAGCTGGGAGAACTACAATGCCTTTCATTCGGTCTAGTTAAGCAAAGCCGTCAAGTTATGTAGATAATGCTGGTTTTGAAGAATCGCTTGTTAGATTAATTAATCATATATTACATATTAATTCGTGTAAAAGTTGGGTGCAAGGGATTCATAAATTGACCCCGCTGGTACCGAATGAGGGATGCTTTTGACTTATAGCTGCTTAAGCCGATGCCTTCTTCGCAAACTGAGTTAAAGGTTCAAGGCAACCTTACTTTGCTATCCAATGAGGTAAATCAGCGGACCTCTTAGAACGAAATGAAAGCATGCCAGCATCAAGTCGTCAAGAGTTCACACCCTTCTCATTACTACGATTGAACAGGCACAATTTGAGCGGGTCAAACTTGTTTAATGAGGTATAATGATCGAATTTAAGCCGATTTTTTCATGATGCCTATTAAGGCATGAACAAGCAAAATGCTAGCGCTACAAGTTTTATTTGGGCCAAACTTAGATCCATAGAATGATGGCTTCGAATGAACATATCTTTAAGACCAAAGCACAATACAACTGAAACTATGAGAATCTAGATTTATTCCAAAAATGATTTATTGCGAAATAAGATTGGCAAGGGCCCCTCACGTTTGAGAGGCAATTAAGATTACGATGATCGAGTCAAAACTAAGAACTGTCGCCTATGTCTAACACTAAAAGTATAAAAAACGGATAAATCTGAATATCTTAATTGTGGGAACCAAAAAGTCAATAAGCCATTGGCTCGAAGAAGTGCACGTAATGCTTACCAAAAACTAGTTATTTTACTAAATAGTTATTTCAAATAAGGGTTGAGAGGGCTGTTTTACCTTCAAAGTTGTGTCTTATGCCTCAACGAGATACAGGCCATAGCAGGGCGGAAGCGTGTTACTATTTGATTCGTAATTCGGTCTACATCCGGACTTATTTAAATACATACGCGAGAAAAAAATGTCAGAAGATTATAGATCAAGAATATGAGATGTATTCACCCTATTTAGTTTAAGATGATGAAGGATTAGTAGTTGAATTTTCACAAAATGATGTGAGTATAGCTGACGTTTCCATTAAATTTCAAATACAGTTGCTTACCCAAAGTGTTCTCATCCAAGATGGATTGCAGTTCTGGCCCTGTCTAGGTCTTACCAATACACCCAGCGGTAGTCGAATCATGACAGTGCAGCATCTAATCTCGACACGTTATTCACTACGCCACATTTCTACGAATGACATCGGGTCACAGGGCTGATGTGAATTTCAATTAAGGACAAGCATTTTCCTATATCATATCCTTTTGTGGGATCAATGATGAAGCAGAGTTATATTTGCTACGATAGTCAGCTACATTGCTTATTTTACGTTTAAAACATGGTTTTGATACAACCAGTAAATCAGTTATATAAGATGTATTCATCCCACTTAAGAACGAAAAATAAGTAATGCAGTCGAATATCATAGTAAATATAACTTTGCTTCACCAACAATCCCACCAAAGAATACGATATGGAAAATTGCCTGGCCTTACTTGAAATTCACATTAGCCCTTTGACCCAAGGGCCTTCGTGGAAATGTGGCATAGTGAATAGTGTCGAGATTAGATGCCGCACTGTCATTATTCGACTCTCGCTAAGTGTGTTGATAAGACCTGGGCGAGATGGAAATTGTAATCCAGCTTGGATGAGAACACTTTTTGGAAAGCAATGCTATGCGAAATTCAATGAAGCCGTCAGCTCTACTCATATAATTGTGGGAAAATTCATCTACCAGCCCTTCATCACCTTAAACAAAATAGGGTGAATACATCTCATATAATTGATTTGCTAGTAGTCTCGAAATCCTATTTATGAATGAAAAATAGAATCAAGAATTCTTTTAAGAAATATGAAGAAAGTATCATTACAAGATAGACAGCTAAGCCTTCTAAGCTTTTATAAGGAGATTCGACGAAGACTTTGCTATAATATAGAAATTGTTAGTCTTAAAATACCCTAGAAAAGTATTAGATCGAAGGATGTCATATATACATATATAGAATCAACCATCTTCAAAAATAAAAATGGATAGTCCAAGACCCCCCAACGGTAATCAAAAACAAGATAATGACCGTTATATAATGTGATTACTCATTTCATCATCGACAATATCCATGTCCTCATCATCAACCAAATCTCCGTCTTCAATGAAATCCTTTATATTACTATATTCTTCATCATCAACGATTTCGCCATCTGATAAAGATTCGAATCCAATTGCTTCTTTAGAAAGTCTTGGCTGCTTTAACGGCCGACCCTCCCAGTTGGTAAGGCCAGGTTCAGAAGCTGATTTACAGAGGCCACGTTGATCTAAGGGCGCAGCCAAATGAGTTTCTGAAGAGACAGTCGTTTCTTCAGGGCAACTGGAAGGAGCATGAGGGTTACCAGGTTCTGAATTCCGCTGAGAAACATTGGAGGACTGGTTCGCACTGCCAACTGCGGAGGGAGCGCCTGGTACCGAAGCATATAAGTCAATAGACGAATCTGAATGGAAACTGATTACAGGTAGCTCCAAAGGCGAAATTATGAATTTTCCCTTTTGCGTGAAGTGTTCACCAGATTCCTGAATGGGAGTGTTTGGGAAAAATAGTTTAAGTGAATATTCATTTCTAATTAGGCAAAATTGCACACAGAAATATCAATAAGAATTATTGTGTTGATTCGAAATTGTTATCGCAACTTGGTCGGTGACAACGAGACCTTGTGGAACTTACCTAGTCCTGTGTTTTGTCATAGTATACGTGATTTCCAGCATTGGACCATTGACTTAGTACATTCGCAAATGTTTAGACGGCATCGTCAACATAGAATTACAAATGATTAAAGAGACAAGTAAAAGCAATCCCCTCGACAAATTTTCTGTTTAACTACTGTGATATCACTTCTCGTCTCTATCTTTATCCTGCATCTCAACCCCACTTCATATGACCCATCTACCTATCCACACAAGTATGTGCTCTCATTTCCTCCAATTTCGTATAAGAATGGGTTTAGTTAAGCGCAATCATCTTCGCCAGTGCCATTTACAGGGCTCCTGACCATCATTCAGCCCTCCCTTCTTCTACCTCACTTGTCAATTGGCCATTGTTAAAACATCAAAGTCACTGTCTGACTGTCTGAAATCTGGCTGCCAATTTACAAGCGAAGGTAGAGGAAAAGGAGGCTGAATGAAGGTCAAGAGCCATACAAACTGCACCTGGAACCAATGGCGAAGATTATTAAGCTTCAAGAAAGTATTTCGGAATGTGTAGTAAATAAGATATATATAAGGGCCCTGCACCGTCATGATGAGAAACTTAATATTTGTATTATAGGCAAGTATATAGGAATGTGTTAGAGGCATGCACATTGGCTTTATAAGGATATAGGAACCGAAGAAAAATAAGCAAATAATGCTATCTATGAGAGTGATGGTTGTTAATTTATCCTGTATAGGTTCAAAGGATAGTATTGAGATTACCTTTGAAAAGCATTTAAATTTCGGCTACACACGTGGGAAGAATAGTTTGGATGATATAACAGAATAGATTA